TGTGATAGGGTCAGCGACCTGTGGGGCTTTTCTAATAGGAGAATCAAAGTGTATTTGAGAATGAGCTTAATTTGCTGAGGACTTGAAACTGGTAGGTGCACCTGGTTAGTCTGTCTTAAATCAAGGTTGAGCCTTTGTAGAATCCAGCAGGTGCAGAGTGTCTGACTGGCACCAGAATTTGCATTGCACATTTTAAACATCTGTTTAAAAAGTAAACTTCTAGCAGAAAATACCTCCATATGAACATTTAACTGAAAGGTAAAGAAATCCAAGTTCTGCCTTAGCAGGAAGCTCCCAGTGGAAGCTGTGGCTCACCTTGAGAAAAGTGAAGGAATCTGGGACAGCTGAAACGGTATTGTATGATTTCTTTTTGGTTGTCCTGGCTGAAATCTAATTGTTTTGCACGTGAAAACAATTCTTTCCTCCGGCAGAATTACTTTCCATCATTTGTTCAGATGTAAGTTCCTTGCAGAGAAGCGTTGTGAGGAGGAGACAGAGGATAAAAATCCATTCAATCCCAAAGCTGTGATTTCTATGCCACTGTTTTACCCAAGATGTGTTTGTGTGACTTTAAATTCTAAGACTCACATGGAAATCACTAACAGAGCAAACTCCTGCTTCAAATCTTTTGGCCTTGGGAAAGGTTTATTTGGAGATAGAGGTAAAAGGGGAACAATATAGTGAATACATTCTAAATGTTACAGAAAGCTATTGGAAGAATTTATTACTTCAGTTATGTAGGGATGAAAATTTCTCCAGAGAGCCATAAGGCTATTTTTTCCAATATCTGAAACTAATATTAAAAGGTTTGTTCTCTAACACAGGGGTAACAGAAGCAAATACAATACCTGAATGTCTTGATTTGAAACACAGGTGTCTGCTAAGGAAGGCAGGAGCCTCCCTTGCAATGGAAAATGTAACCTCCTTCCCTCCAAAATATTATAATTTTGAAATTAAGGGGTTTTCAGGCAAAGATAGGAGAAATAGGAATAATGGCTCTTTACTAGCATATATAACAAGGCAATAATACAGAAACACTGGTTTAAAGTGACAGTCAGGATAGGACCTGACACCCTGTTGGTCAGGGTGGTGGTGGCAGCCCAAGTTAGTGGTGGCTGCAGTCCTGATGAAGTGATCAATGTGGTTCTGTTGAAGCAGTGGTCCTGTAGAAGGGTCTGGTCTTCCTCTGAAGGTCCAGTGGTGATTATGTAGCTCTTGTCCTCTGGGAATGCAGTAGGTAAGGGCTGCCTGTGGTGGTCCAAATCTCAGATTATATCCAGGTAGGAAGCTTGGTTCCTCCCCCTGGGTGGAGCATCTCACAGTGGGTGATGTGATTTTATGAGTCATGCATTGAGGCTTAATGACCCATTAACAGAAGATAATTCCTCCAGAGGGAGTTATCAGGGATGTGTCATGGAAGAGATAAAGAACACTGCCCCAGATGGTTTTAGGAGATTGTGATAGAATACATACCTTTGGTTACATCCTACATTGTAACCTAAGACACTCAATCACTAACATTTTTCCAGTTGGCACACCAAGATGAGACGGTATTTTAACAAATAACATGGCTTCAGAGAGACCCAGTTATCTATCAAACATGTCTAAACTTAAGCAGGCTTGCTTGTATAGGATTTTTTTTTCTTTGGCAAGCCTGATTTTTAGAGAGATTCATGACTGAACCACTTAACAGATGTAACATTAATGGAATAGTGCATTGAAATTCAGCTGTGGGTAAGAGACTGTCTTTAGGAGATGTCTACTGGAATACTTCTATTTTGTCTTTTTATTTAATTGCATTTGGTAATAGCTTTAAACTGTGATAGGACAGAAAGTAGACACTTGTCAAAACCTGGCATCTATCTCTGTTTTGTTTGTTTGTGGTTTTCTTTTTGCCATTGACCATAATTCTTGTGATTTGTCGTCGGGAGTCGCATCGGAGGTGTAAAATTGTACCATAATGTGAGATTTGCACAGGGTGGCTAAAGATGCTCATCCTGCAGGACTGTACAGGAGAGGTATGTTCAGCCCCCTGTTCTGTAGGGATCTTTTGGCACTTGGAGACCAGTTTCTGCAGTTCTGGTTGTTGGGATGTGCAGCAGTTGGCAGACAGCATCCCTACGGTCCCAGGCTGAGAAGCAGAGTTCCCACAACCCTGGATTTTCCAAATTGCTTTGAAGTCAAACCTGTTCATAGAGTGTATTTAATCCTTTCAGTACGTTTGAATGTGCAATAAACCAGTCAGATAGTAAAAATGCAAAACTGATTATTGCCCAAAAGCTCTGCATGCAGTCTCATGTGGGTTTTTCACTAAAAGAAGTGTAAAAAAACCCCAAAAGCCCAGATACTAAAGCCCACCCCTAATAAAAATCCTGTCACACCTGCAGCACAACTGGCTCAGTACAAACCAAGTGAGGTGAAGGGAAAGGCCCCTGATTTGGAGATCTATAGGTCAAGTAGCTTTATGTCAACGACCCAGTTGACATAAGATAGTTCCTAATGTCTTTGCTAGGTCAGTGTTTTATTGAATGCACAAAATAAGAATAGGCAAGGATTGTTGTTTCGAAAAGTCCGTCTGTTTTTTGCTGTATTTAAAAGCCCTTGTCAAGGTACCTCCTCCGTGCTGACAGTAACGAGAATAGGGCACTGTCTTTTAAATTATTTCAGTTCTCTTTTCAACAGCTTCACCACCTCTCCCGTTGTGTTGTCTTTGCAATTTTGTGCCACTTCAGTGACGATGAAGACATTTTTTGTCTTGTTCTGTACATGCATTTTGAGGCAGACCTTAAAGCTGGTTGGGTGGATGGAGGAACAGCAAGGAGTGAGGCAGAATGGCTTCGGAGCCATGGGCTGTTCTTTCCATGCCCACTTCCAAGGCCAGAGAAGGACAAAATGCCAACAGCATGGCTGGAGCCCGTGGCTCTCAGAGGTCTGGGATAACCTCAGCTGTCTGAATTTGTGTCCATTCCCACTCGGTCTGCCAGCACTTGAACTTGGTTGTTACTTCTCAAACTTGCCCAAAGAAAACCATGGAGTCGCGTGTTCATGTTGTCATTCCACGTCCCACCGCGTGCACGGACACTCTTGGATCTGACCCGAAGGAAATACAAGGTACAGCGTGTCTGTCATTCCTGTCCCACGGCACAGCCACAGCTGCTCCATCAGCCGTGCCCTGCTTCTGCTCCTCAGCCTCTACTCTACGCTCAGGGATGTAGGAAACACCACTCTGCTCGTGTGTTCCAGCGGGGAGGAACGAGACTGTTGGCTGGGTGTGAGTGTTCACTTGGGCATTATGTTAGACAAGACCCTGCTCCAAAAAGGCTGCTCGAAGCTCAGCAGTTTGTCCTCAGTTCAAGTCGAGGTGGTTGTAAAATCCAACAGATTTTGTAAATTACTGATCAGCCACCGGGCCCTCTGGAGCCAGTGCCCAGGTTCGGGGCCGTGTGGCACAGCAAATTCCCAGAAACGCAGTATGGATCTGGTTTTAATCTGTTAATTTTTTTTTTTTTGTTGTTGTTGTTGTTCCTCAACCACTTTATAATGTATTTTTTTAATTTATTATTTTGTAATGTCATGTTTAAGTATTGCTGCTATCCTTGTTATTCTTCCCACTGTTTTTATTGCAGATTTATTTTGTGGAAGTTGTACACTAATGTTTCATTTTATGTCTAAATCAAAGTATTTAAAGAAATACTAGTTCTATTTAATGTGGTTATGGAACCAGCTGGAATAAACAGTGATTGTATAGTAGGCTGGACCCAGGAGGTCATGTTCATTTTTGTTACATATGCAATAAACTCACAACTTTAAACTCTTGGTAGCCACTGCTTTTTTGTTAAAATATTTGTGGGAATCAGAGGAAAAGAGTGGACAAAGTATCAAAATGCAATTGATTTAACAGATCTGTATGGACTGCCTAGATGAAAGTCCTCCTCTGCAGGGAGAACATTTTGTTTCAGTAATTCACCTTTTTCCCTTCTTTTCTCATTATTTGTCCTGATGCTTTACCAAAACCTCAATTTGCAGAAAAGATTGTAATCTCCCCATTAATGAAAGCTGGAGAAAGATTCACTAATGTTGATGAATCCTTGCTTTCCTGTTTGTATTTTTTTCCCTCATTACTGCTGCTTTGCAAGTGGAGGACAGGAACAAGTCCGAGGAGGTTGCTCAGTGTTGGTGTGTGCTGCAGCAGTGCCTTCCCTCCCTGATGCTGAAAGCTGGGCCATAATTTGGTTTAATAAATAAATAAGGAGGGAGTACAAATAAAATGCTTTTTGTTCTTTGAGTAATTTCACAATATGAACAAATGACCGGGGAGCTGCTGCAGCCACCCCTCGCGTCAGCCCGCGGCAGGGACTGAACGATTTCATTACCTGGAGCAGGAGTTCGTGTCAGTCCTTCAGTGCTCTGTCACACACTGCTGTTTTCTTTAATAAGTACTTTTTGTGAGATTTTCCTGATTTCTGCTTTCCTTTTGGCTCTAAGGGAGAGGAGAATCTCTGGAGCCTGCTCCAGTGGGTGGGCTGTGCTGTAGAGGGGCTGCTCCAGGACTTCTCTACGACGTGAGCCTCTTGAAAAGTCAATTAAAATTATCCCATTTCTCTTAGGAAATCATGCGGAGCTCAACGAATCGGCTATCTCCTTTTCTGGCGGCTTTGGCAAGCCACTTAAATCCCTCAAATTCCATTTTCTACTCTTCCTGCGGGACGTCCCCATCTAAAACGCGGTGTCCGAGGGGGGAAGAAGCGCTTCCCTGCCATTCTCTTAGGCCTCCACGAGCACCCAGAACCGCGGTGGGGGGGGTCCCGTGCAAGGGTCCCGCACCCCCCAAAATTCCTGAGCCCCCCAAAAAGTTCGGCCCGGGCCCCGCCCCGCACCCACGTGCGGCGCTGGCCGCGCCCCCTCCCCGCGGGACACCGCCCGCCCGGCAGGGGGCGTGGCGCCGCCCGCCCCTCTCTATGGTAGCGCGGCCGTGCCGGGCCCGCCCGCGCCGCCGTCCCCGCGCGCCGCTCTGGCGCTCCCTCGCTGGCTCTCTATGGTGCGGGGCGGCGCGGTCACGTGGCGCGGGCCGGGCGGAAGCGGCGGCAGCGGCGGTTAAATGAAGCGGGGCCGGTGAGTGCCGGGGCGACACCGGGGCGGCACCGGGGCGACCCCTCCGTCCCGCGGGGCCGCTGAGTGCCGGGGCGACACCGGGGCGACCCCTCCGTCCCGCGGGGCCGCTGAGTGCCGGGGCGACACTGGGGCGGCCCCTCCGTCCCGCGGGGCCGCTGAGTGCCGGGGCGGCCCCGGGGCGGCCCCTCCGTCCCGCGGGGCCGCTGAGTGCCGGGGCGACACCGGGGCGACCCCTCCGTCCCGCGGGGCCGCTGAGTGCCGGGGCGACACCGGGGCGGCCCCTCCGTCCCGCGGGGCCGCTGAGTGCCGGGACAGCGCTGCCGTCCCTGGGCCTCGCCGTTCTCCTCGCTGCGGGGTCGGGCGCTGCTCCCGGCTGGGGCCTGTCCTCAGGGACGGGTCGTTCTCCCCGCGTTCCCTCAGGGCCCGGTGTCCGTTCCGTCTGTTTCTCTTCCCCCCCACCTCCCCTCAGGGCCGGTCCTTCCCGTCAGGGACGGGTCGTTCCTCCCAGCGCTTTCCTGAAGGGACGGGTCCACCGTGTCCGTCCTCCCGTACCCCTCCACTTTCATTTAGGGCCGAGTTCTTCCTCCTCGCTTTCCCTCAGAATCGGGGACACCCCCTCCCCCTCCAGCTCCCCTCAGGACTGGGTCCTTTCCCTCCGCCCTGCATCCCCTCAGGGCCGGTCCCGTCTCCCCCTTCCCGGGGCCAGGGGGTCCCTTCCCCTTCCCCGTGTTCCCCCGCAGCCCCGAGGGACACCCGGGGACAGGCGCTGCTCTCCGGGGCTCTTTGGGCTGTCCCGGCTACCCCGGGCCCGGTGCTTGCAGCTTGTGAGGAGAGGAGGGTAAAAGGTTGTTCTCTTCTGACCCCTGTTCAGTGTGGGAGCACTCGGTGCTGCTGGGACATCTCGACATTTCAGGAATCTGCTGTGGGAGCTGCTGCAGGAAAGAAACCCCAAACACAGCTGTCCTCAGAGCTGAGGGATCAGTGTAAGAGATACTCCTCTTCCTTTTCTTTCCTTTCTGTATTGATCCAAGTGCCAGCCAGCCGTGGTAGAGCACAGCCTGGAAGTGTTAATGTACCCTGTGTTTATGTAATGAGTTTTTCTGCCCCTGGAGCTGACCTTGTTCCCCCAGAAGGCTGGAGGCAGGTCAGGATCTCACCGAGGTCTCCTGAGGCTGAAGAGCTGTGGGAGCTCCAGCGTGTGTGTGAAGAGAGGAGTGTGAGCTCGCCTGGGGCAGTGCTTTGGGGTGGGCAAAATGTGGATTGGCTTAAAGAGTCATCCCAGAGATCCTGGGATTTGCAGCTGTGCTGGATAGGACCCTGGGTGGATAATGGCTGCTTGCACCTACCAGCCCAGCCTGGGGAGTTTTTCCTTTCATCTCACTTGTGCTTTATGATCTGGAGTGTTCTCTTTGAGTGTCCTCCAGTACCTTACTTTAGAATCTTACTGACAGATGCTTAGAGCAGTTTTCATACAAGTAAGTTTAGTTGTTGATGTTTCTGTTCAGTTTGGTCGCTATCCTGAGATCTCTGATGCTTTGAAAGAGAATAGCTGATGTTGCTTTTTATTTCCATTTATTTATTTTATTTCCATATTGATGTGCACTTTTATTTCCATAATCCCGACGTGGTGCTAAGGGACTAAAGCTTGATGTCCATGTGATTTTCAGAGTATTCCCTCCTGTGTTTCTTTCCCTATGGAACAGGATTGCTTCAGGCAATTCTAGCAGTTCTAGAGGGTCTCTTGGTGGCTGAGAGGCACAGCCAGTCCTAAGACCTATGGGCAGATCTCTGCTTCTCTGTTTTGTCTCTGTGGAGCTTGAGTCCTCTTTCTTAACAATCTCTGCTCTCCCACCTGATGCACTTTGGAGCTCTTGCAGGTTTCCAGTGGAAGCAGTGGAGGGAAAGGCAGGTGTCCCCTCTCAGGCATTTAAACTGGCCTTTGCTCAACTAATGTGGCCTCTCCTGCTTTCAGAGAGGATGGCATGAGGGTTTTTCCTCCAGCAACCTGCTTGGAATGTGAGGCAGGAAATCTGAGACCCATCATTCTGCAAATCCAAATCTTGAGCAGGTTCTGGTACATCCCTGAACAGGTACAAGGCCTGTGGTAGAGGCTCAAACCATGTTTTGTTTTGGACTAGTAGGATTGCAGGGACAGCTTTTCATTCCAGAACTCTGGGATTTACAGCTTTAATGTGTGCTTTTAGTTTCTAGGATGAATGCTGTGCAAAAAATCCACTGCCTTGCATCAGGCCTTCTGCAATTGTAAACACGTTAATAGATTTCATGTGCTGGGTGTCTTCGTGGTGTGACTGGATGTTCATAAACCGTCATCTTGACAGGAGTTTGTGCCTGGAACACCAAGACTTGGGAAGGGACTCAGACAGATTTCCTGAAGATCTGTAGACATTCAGCCTTCTTGGAGGTGCTGCATTGTGGTAGCAGGCTTTCTTCCATCTCTTTTTCTTGCTTCCTAGGAGGATGTTTTCCTTCTGGTTGGCCTGGCTGCAGGCAGTCGGGGCAGGAGCAGCAGTTCCTAGAAGAGCACTTGGGGCAGGTGTTACTGGTGATAAGGTGCAGTCTGGTTTCCAGCAGGGTGCTGGCAGCCTGTTCCTGGGCTGGAGTTTCAGGAGCTGCCTCCGAAGTCCAAGTTCCGGGGTAGACCAGTGTTTTGTCTGCCTGAGAATGCGGTGGGCGTTCCTGCTGCTGGCGAGCCTTGTGCTTTGAAATTGGACACAAATCACTGAAAAGTCCTGTGGCAAGAATAGGTGGGGCAAACACACAATTCCGGCGGCTCTGGCGCAGCTGGAGGAAGGCAGGAAGCATATCCCAGGGGCTAGGAGCTGATTAGCAACCTGGAGTAGCACAAATTCAAGTGCAAGAGATGTGAAGCCCTTTGGGTGTTGTTTAGTTGCCTGCTGGAAGAAGCTTCCATTCATTAATTTGGAATGGGTGTCTTATTTTTATTTATATCTTTCTAAAGCCATTGTGAGTGGTTTATTGTGTGTGAGTGCCAGCAGTGCTGGGTGTTGGGGCTTGCCACTGGCTGCATTCTTTATGGGACAGTCAGAGCTGCACCACTCATTCCTCTCATTGGAAGTTTGGAGATTTTTTTGTTTGTTTGTTTGCAGATGGTTTTGATCTGGAGATATTTTAAGACTCCCTTTAAATTATTGAATTTGGACATCAATGTATCTACTTAAGGATGAGGCATTAATAGTCTCCAAAGCCTGTGTGTGCACTGAAGTGATGGTGGGGGTTCAAGCTGCTTCTTGTAACTGGGATTACTCTCAGTAGGACCAACTCCAGTGGGACAGGTGCCTTTTTAAATACAGCAGAAGGTGTGAAACACACAGCTGCCCGGGGACAGCAGCTGTCTCCCAGGAGATCGGGTCATTTGTGTACAGGCTGGGAGTTCCTGTGTTTGAAATGGAGCTGAATAATGGGCCAGTCAACATTACTCCGGAGTAGTTTTGTTTTTAAGCAGGTTACTGGGAGATGTGGGAAACTGGGGAGGGGTAGGCAGAGAAAACAGGAAAAGAGGGGGGGGGAGTGTCCTGATAGCTTGAATAAGTTATCCTTGCCAAAGCACTAAGATGAGAGATAATAAGGAGTGTCTCACTGAGCTGGAATAATCTCATTCTCACCAGCCTTCATGTCACTTTTATAGAATTTCAAGTTTATTTTGGACTATCTCAGGAGTGATGTTTTTCCTCTGGGTCAGTGCTGAAGGGCTTGCAATGGTTTTAAATTCATAACGATCCTTGAGAAAGCTTAATTCCTGAGGATGGGAAGTTATATTCCTTCTGAATGACACCTCTCTCCTAATTACCAACCCTGCTGTGGTTCCCTGCCTGTGTTGATGAGGGGAACTGTCAGTGCCTGATTAAGTGGAAAAAGCATTGGGCTTTAGGGAAGGATTTCACCATGGGGCAGCTGCTACCCCAAGCCACGCTGTCACCTCGCAGTGTTCCTGACCCAGGTCAGCAGGAATTTAAATTAAACGTGTGGCTTTCTCTCTGGCTTTTGGGTGCTCCACTCCTGTGCTGATGCTGGTGGTGCCCAGCTGCTCTCAGGGTGAGTTTTGGAGGCTGTGGTTGCCCCTTGTAATGAGAAGTGAAGTTGATGAGCTGAAATAAAACTGGGAGTGTTTGTGGGTGGCAGGGTGACCTGAAATGTTTTCAGTTGGCCTCGAAGGCCAAGCGTGGTGTTGCTCCCTCAGCCTGCTCTCCCCTGCAAGGAGGCCAAGCTACTGTTTGCATTATTCAGAGAAACATTTGGATGGGATCTGTAGAGGCATCACGTGATGCTGCTCTGCGGTACAAGGTGGTCAGGATCTGCTCTAGCTGGAATTTCTTTTTGGGTGAATATAAGAATGAAAAGTGGCCTCAAGTAATATGTTTTGTCCAAAGCACTCCTTGCACAAGGCTTCTGTACTGCTTTATCCAGACTGACGTGCTCTTACCAAATTGTGGGCACTGCTCCTGTTATTCCTTGGAGGAAAGCAGGCAGGGGTTGGCTTTTTGCAGCCCTTGTGAAACCAGAGCGAGGAACAGATTTACACTTCTGCTTCCAAATCCCATCCCAAAGACATGATGCATTTTCATGTGATGGGTGGGGAAGGAAAACCTCTCCCTGATGCTTCTTGCGGATCATTTTTGTTTGAAGGCCAGTCTTGGAAGGAGCACTGGCCCATGTACCCCTGGCAAGTACAGGCTCTGTTGGGCAAATACATTTCAGGGGGTTGGCAGAGGGAAGGGACAGCAGTGCTGACAAGCTGCCTGTAACACAGCCATGATGCTGCTGAGGACTTTCCTCCTCTCCCTGCTCTGCTGTCATGTGCTGAAATGCAATTTGAGGGAGATGACAGCAGCAGCATAATGGGGAGGCAATAAAAGCAGCTCTTTTTTCCTTTCAGGAAACCAGCAGGGTAGGGCATTTAATGCCTCCCGTGCTGCTGGGATTTCCAGCTACGGATGAGCAAGACCTGGGAGCAGTAACTTAGCTAATGTAAATAGTTCCTTGTAGATTGTTAAAGCAGAATCCTTTTGTAGTGGAGCTTCATTGTGCATCAGCTGGGAGGTGCCCTTGGATCTGCCAGGACTAGCAGAGACCAGCTTCCAACAGCTGGAACACACCTCTGGAGAGTGCTCCTCAGCTCCATGTGTTTGTGTTTATTTAGCAGTTTGTGGCTGGTTTTACTGACTCTCCAGCCCAGGTAGTTAAATAATCTGTCTGATACTGCAACGCCCAGGAAGAGAATTTCTGTTCTGCTGTGAGGGCTCACACAGTGTTGGACATGTGTGTTGACCAAGGGTGGGCACAGGATTCACTGCCTGAAACAGTCTGTCCTTAGCAACTGCTCTGAGTGCAGCCTGTGTAACACCCTGGCTGTGGCCTGTGGTGGTTTTTGTAGTCCTGTGTCTGTGAAATGTTGGTTTGCCTTGAGATTAGTGGGTGGTACAGTCTTGTTAATCTACAGGACTATGGACCTGGAGAGTTAACATACAGCTCTTCTTTTCTTGGTTTTTAGCTCATAATTCATTCATTTGTGAACTTTAGTAGTCTCAGAAGGGATTTGTGCTGGATGTGGAGCATCTCTAAATCCAGCCACCATCTAATTTCACTGTTTTCTGCTCTGATATCGTGGTGCTTACCTCAAATGCAGCCTCTTTGCTTTTCTGCTATTTTAACATACCCAAACTCCACAGTGGTCACTGCCACGTGACATGGATGAAGTCAGGCTGGACAACTGTCATGAGCCTGGAAGGCTGCCCTGGGTTTTCACTTCTGAGAGCTTGCTGGGCTGGAATTGGCTGCAAGGCTACACGTGGCTGTAAACAAAACTAAACCCAGTTTTACAAAGACTGTTGCTGGCTGCCTGGAAAATCTTTTGACAAGTGGTCATCTGTGGTGCTGGAGCAGTAGGGAGGTAGTTGCAGTTCTTCTGTGACAATGCTCCTCCTGCAGCAGTTGTTGGGTGCAA